AACAGATATATAATTCCTGATCTCTGCAGTCCAGTCATTTTTTTTTCTTTGTAATATTTGAGGCAATAAGTTCTTAGCCATCATTGTTCCATATTCTTTTCTTACCCAACAATATTTAATGTCAATCTGGAAAGGAACAATTCAGCCATGGATCAACCCTGTCAAAATAGTATATAGATAAAAGAGATTAATTCCTTGATTTCTGAAGCTTCTGTCACATTAGTAATTTCCACAAGTGGTTTTCTCTCTTTAAATATTGCTAAGTACATATTAAAATATTGCTAAGTTGTAGATCTTGGGTAGCAGCAGTATTTAAATAGCAATGCACAAAACTGTTTCTATTTTCTTCCCTTTTCATAAATAATGCTTATAGAAAATGTAATAGCTAAACAATAATATTAATTCAATAAGAAAATCATTCTGAACATGTTAATGGTTTCTTGAGACTTCACTAAGCATTCTGTTTCTTGAAAGGTTCATCTTCGAGTACATAGTGGAGAAAGACCATTCAAATGTACTACTTGCAATAAAGGATTCACTCAGTTGGCTCACCTCCAGAAGCACTATCTGGTACACACAGGAGAGAAGCCTCATGAGTGTCAGGTGTGTAGAGTTTGCAAGGAATGACTTTAGCAAAAGATGTAATCAAAGTAAAGATATCCTTGAGTCACATTAGACTGTTGGCTACTTGATGAATGTATATATGACTTGAGAGTGGGGCAGTGCAGATTTGCTTTGCAATAGTACAGAAATATTTTCTTTTTTCAACTTCCTAATCTAGCTTAAAACACTGCAATGTGCTGGTAGCCTCCCATCCAACCCTGTGTTGGATCCACTGAAAACACAACCAAAACGTTATTTGATATCAGCCTGTTCTACCCATCCAGCCCAGTGAAAAAGGGAAACTGCTTTTCACTTCTAAAAAATAGTCAGGATTTCTTTTGCACCAGTTTCAAATCAAGTATATATTGGTTCTGGTTTCATGCTTTGGAGGGAACAGATCCTTGCTAGTAGAATGGAGACATGATTTTGCAAAAAGTGATTACACAAGATTCATCCTAGATAGGAAAATGTGGGATTCAAGAGGTTGGAATTTATTTGTTTATGCTTTTATGTTAAAGTAGACATAACTCCCATTTACTTCCTCTCAATTTTAGGTCTGCCATAAACGATTCAGTAGCACAAGCAACCTGAAGACCCATCTGCGGCTGCATTCAGGAGAAAAACCTTATCAGTGTAAGCTGTGCACTGCTAAATTCACCCAGTTTGTGCACCTAAAGCTACACAAACGACTCCACACCAGAGAGCGCCCACACAAGTGTATCCACTGTCATAAAAGTTACATCCACCTTTGTAGCCTCAAGGTCCACCTGAAGGGAAACTGCCCTGTAATTCCTGCTCACAACCTTTCTACAGAGGACCTTAACCGGATCAATGAAGAGATTGAGAAATTTGACATTAGTGACAATGCGGACAGGTTGGATGAAGTTGAGGACAGTGTTGATGTAGCATCGGTGGTAGGGAAAGAAATACTCGCTGTGCTTAGAAGCGAGATAGAAGGAGCCACGCTTAAAGCATCATTACAGAGAAACCTGGGGAACGGGCTGGTCTCCTCTGGGTGTAACCTTTACGAAGCCTCAGATGTATCGGTTGTGAAGTTGCCTCATGCTCATCCACTACCTCAGGTACCTATCAAGGTCAAGCAAGAGACAGATGAACCAATGGACCCTTAAGTGCTGTGGGATGTACGTGTGCATTGTATGAGAGAGTATATGTGTGTGGTTTAGTATGTGTGGCAAAGGAGTGATGTTTGTTTGTATTTTAATTTATGACCTGGCAAGTCAGGGTGCCTGTAGCAATTGCTTGTACAGTGTATTGTATCAACGCTGCAAAACAACCTCAGCTTACAGTAGCTTCTCCAGTTGAAAGAAGGAATTTCTATGTTGCATTCTCAGGGCATAAAAAGAGGCCAAGACTGTTCATTGCCTCTCCTGCTTCCCAAAAAGACTGCCTAATATCCACAATCTTTTTGTAATAATAGTACTCATAATTTATTATGCAATTTACCATTCAAAAAGCAATAGCTAGGATATTTACAATGACAAGAACATTCATTGTAAATGGAATATGTGTGCTTTTCATTTTTGTGTTTGTCCTGTGGCTGTTCTCCATAGAGTTGATTCCTGTACATCTGTTTAATAACTGCAAAATAATAGCAAAACCCATGATTGACTAGGCTGCAAGGGTGAAAATGTTTTAACATGCCTATTTCAGACATAATTGTTTTGTTTTGCCAAAGGTAAATCCTTAATAGTCATTTGGTTGTAATAGTGCTGTATAACTGAACAAAATAGATAAACATATAGAATTGTTTATAGAAATATATATACAGCAGAAGGAGAAACTGACATGTCTAGAATGAGTGAAAAGGTAAAATATTAGCCAGAATGCATCAAACACAGTCCTCACCTCAGAGCTCTTAGTTTTACCTCATGGTTGTGAGCAGTACTCTTAGAAAAGAACATTTTCTTTCTCTTGCATATTGTTTATGTAAGTAGAAAACTTAGGATACTCCAAAGATTCTCTCTGCAAAGAGGGGTATTGCAGAGGTGTTGGCTGGCTACACCCCAAAGCTCCCATTGAGATTCTGGGAGAAATAGGACAACTTTCCCTAATCCCTTCATTCTCCATCCCCTTTCTTGGATAGAAATTGGGTGGTAAACTCTTTTCTTGGCATACCTAACTAGGTGGTTTTGTTTCTCCTCCCTGTATCATATGAGTCAAGTTTTCTCTCAGTATTTGTATTAGCATATTTTGTGGTTAATTTAATGAAAAAATAAAAGGGCATTGCAAAGTTGCTGAACAACAGTTACCTCATCCAGTGTGTCCAGTGATGCAGAAAATGCTGTCTGTCTTAATGCTTTGCTAATCTAGAAAACAAACCAAAATGTAGAGAAGATGGAATGCACATTCTAAATCTTTTTGTTTTGCTGAACCCAAAGATAACATATCATGATATAGGGCATAGCACATAATTGTATTTATAATTACTTAAACGACTATCCTCTGTGTGCACACAAGCACATACTTTTGTGAGCCAAACCTTATAATAAAATATTGATTTAAATAGCTTGTTTCACTATCACAAAGGGTAAATTCTTAACATCAAAGCCATAATACTATAAATCTTATTCATCATGAGGCATGTTTGTGTACATTTTTATTTGCTTCAAGAGATTTATCCACATAGTACTTTTTAAATTCTCCAAAGTATTCTCTGAAGAATAACTGGCTTACTCTTACATCTCCTCATATTATCATTGCAAACGTCTGCCTTGGGAGATGAAAAAAATAATAATCTAAACATGCTTGCTAAAGGTCAAACAGGTCCCATTATTACTCATTTTTGAATGCTATATGGATCAAAACATTAAGAAGAATGAGTTGTTTAAAGTGTTCTGGAAGATCTGTCCCTTTTCCTACGTCTTAAAAGGTGACCTGATCACCAGTAAAAAGGGCAGTGTTACTTTTCTTGCAGTATGTATATCTTTATTTCTCATAATAATCTTAAGGAATTAGGCTGTTACAAATATGACATTATTCTAATGCCTTCTTATATAAAGCACCAAACATATCCATAATCTACAGGTAGCCCAAGAAAAACTTTATATATGCCTTTTGAAGGAAGAGTTGCAGTTCATAACATTTCTGTTCCCATAAATTGTGATACAAATATAATTCAAATGTAGCATTGTTTCCTAAACATTAACTATTGGATAAACCAAAGTACCACTACTCCGATCACTGGACACACACATGCTTTTATTAATTGCCTATAGTGCTTTCTTGTATTTGATACGAATTTTACAAAGATTTATATGCGTCAGCTTTAAAACTGCTTCTTTGTCTAATTGTCTCCCCTGTTTAAAAACTTTGAATGTAGCAACAATCAGTGTTTCCCCTCCCTCCTAAGAATAGGTTCTGACCAAAGTTAACAGGCTTTTTACTTTGCTACAACAAAATATCTTATGTTTACGTACTGGTTTACATTGTTATTTATGTGCAAAAATGTCAAAATGTAAATTAAATATAAAACGTTCCTTGCTTTACCAATGATGGCTGCTTCTTCTTTTTAAATGTAAGCAGTGTTACTTTAGTTTCAACTTTCATTTACTCCCCGGGCCAAAAACACTTAACATTCACAATGATCTTTTTCAATAGAAATCTCTGATTCTAAATTGACTTCCTGTAAATTGGCCTTTCTGAAGGTGTTGTGCCACAGCATGGCTAGGAAAGGCTCTTTTTTTTTTATACCTATTTTGAGGCCTGGTTTAGATTCACCAGATGGGACCTGTAAAAAAAGGCAGGTCATGTTTTACGGCACAAATTTACTTCCCTTTATGTGCAAGGAAAAACAGCAGCATGGAAGGAAGAATTCAAGCCCGAAAGTCATTTGGAATTTTGAGATTTCATAAAATATACAAATGTCAAAAAACAAGGCCCAGTATCACCTGTTTGCTCATCAAACTGCACTATCCTGATAAAATTCTGCACTGAAGTTCAAACAAATCAAGTAGATTAATGGATCAAGATTAATAGACAGAGTTAGGAATGCACAACGCAAATATTAACTGCTTCAATCCAAATCCAGGTTTCATTTCATAGCAAAAGTTGTGCTATTCTTTAAAAAAATAAAGAACCTTTATTGTTGCAGACTCGACTGATTTTAGATACACGCACTCATGTTTCACCTGTGCAACTGTTTTGGCAGGAAGGGTTGATGTGGAAAAGGTCTGGATGCTCTGTGGTCTTCTCTGGAGTACCACTCAAACCGAGCAGCTGCAGGCAATCTTTTTCATATAGGTTTGCACCTATTCACTAGAACCGGTTGTTAACATTCTAAGCAGTTCAGAGAACCGGTTGTTAGAAGAAATTACTGGCCTAATCCTGTAAGGAAGGCAGGAAGGAAACATTCTGGTGTTGCTTACAGAAACTTCCTCTCCGTTAACCCTTATTACATTCTTGGCAGGACTAGACATCCTATCTCAGGAACGTCTCTGGAGTTTCTTTTTCCCTCTTTTGCTGGTACTTTGCTTGTGTGGAGTGACCATTCAAAGTTACAATGGCACTGAAAAAAGTGACTTATGACCGTTTTTCACACTTACGACTGTTGCAGCATCCCCACAGTCATGAGAGGGGAGGCAAGGAGATGCGTGCCTCGATATGATATTGAGTTGGCCACACCCAGCCAGTCACATGACCACCCAGCCATGCCCATAAACTAAGCCACGCCCACAGAACCAGTTGTTAAAAAATTTGAATCCCACCCCTGACATTTACCTTTGATAGAGAAGCAGTTTGGTGTAGTGGTTAAGGCACCAAGCCAGAAACCAGGAGACTCTGAGTTCATGTCCTGTCTTGGGCACAAAGCGAGCTGAGTTACCTTAGGCCATTCACTCTCAGGCCTAGGAAGGAGGCAGTGGCAAACCACTTCTGAAAATTGTTGCCAAAAATTGCAAGGACTTGTCTAGGCAGTCACCAGAAGTCAAGAATAATTTTCCCCAAAAAACCACATCCTTAACACAGTTTTATTATAGGCCCCATGAAGATTATGCTTCATAATTTACTTTGTACACTTGTTTCTAATGAGCAACTGATGCAAAATAAAAGGAACTGCATAAGAACAAAGCTTACACCAATAAGAATGCAATTCTTACTAATTCAGGTACAAAGTATAGGATCCATGGCTGGAGTACAGCACAATTCAATGGTGCACAGTAATAAACATGAGACACAGGACAGGCTTATCACAAAATCTATCATCTTTTTCACACACTTGCCAAATTAGTTTTCAGATTACATTGGAGAAATTCTGCAAATGTTGCATTGGGTTTGGCCTGGTTAAGAGAGTGTTGTTTTCTAAATCATCTGCATATTTGAAACGGCTACATTTTTTAAAAAAAGATAAAGCTGGAAGGTGAAATTCTAGGTGAGTTGAAAATACTCTTTGAGCAAAGGAGTCATCTGGAGAGCTCTTGCATGATCTTGAAGAACTGCAAAGCTGTTATTCTAATCTCTCTCACTAAATAAATATATGCTGTCTTTGTGGGTGCAAGATATTGTTAATCCTATCAGCAGGTTTCATTGTTATTTACCTTTAAGGAGGACAAGCCACCATTGATTTACTACAACAAAGTAATAATGGGATGCTTTCATAATGGACCCATCAGGCAAAACGTACTTTTCACAAATAATATTAAATAATCAAAAGATAGATTGGTTTGTCAGATAATCCTTCCTTCCTTTATGGAAGAATAAAGATAGGATGCTTATTCTAAGATTTCTCATCCAACAACTCAGAAAGTTTGTAGAGAAGTACAACTTTTTAACTATCATTTTCCTGGCTCCCTTTTTTTTTTTTTTGCTTCTAATTGCAAAATGCCAGTCAACAGTTTCTTTAAAACAAAGAATTGGTGCCTTTCTTCCTTTAGCCTGTAAAGCTGCTATATTTGTTCAAGATCATTCAAGAGTATATGTGGGGCTCCACAGGATGGGAGACCAAGGGGCAGTCTCATTGCTGCTTGAGTGGGACTCCATTAGCTAGATGTTGGATGGAGATCCGTGTATTTTCGATGCCTCACCCAAGGTGTGTTTCCTTCATTATTACTTCTGATATTGTTTTAGACAATGAGAAGTTTGTAGGCAATAGGACTCATTGGGGCTTGTAGGCCAAACTGTTGCTTAGTCCCACATATCATGATTTCAAAAAAACAAAACTGGAAGCTCTAAACAGAAAGCCATCAATTTCAGTTATAGAGATATAATACTATAGATGGGAAATCAAACCCATGCAAGAAGCTAAGAAACCTCAAACTTCAAGGAATGAATCATCTCCCTTCTAGGCTAGCTTTGATATCCTGGAGAGCTATTTGTTTGAGTTGTTTTTATTGTTGGAAATAATGTGACATTTTCTTTTACTGACTTATAAAACATATCCAGTATAACTTAAAGATCTAGTTTAGGCTAGAATTGATTCTGTGTGAAATGGGAAAGGTGGAAACTTGGCATTATTTTCTAGTATTTATTGGCCCAGACTTCAACCCTTGGCTTAAAACATACTCCAGTCTTTCCTTCTCCTAAACGACAATTTGCTAACCCAAAACTAAAAATAGCTCCAAATGGAGATATGTTATTTTTCTTTTCTTAAACAGACCTTACCTTCAACCACATTCTCTGCTTTAAGAAGCAGCAGGGACAAAAAAGGAATAAGGTCATCCAAGAAAGGAACACAGCTTTGGAACTAGCAGAGAACTTTTTATGTTAATGGGCACAGATGACATTGGATAGCTTAAACATTCTGTAAGAATTTTGAAATAATAGGGCCAGAAGTGGTGTCAGCTCCTGTGGAAGGCACTAAGCAGTCTAGTCCTGGTGGAAATTATTCTTCTTGAAAATGGATGATTCTAGTTTAGGGCTTCAACAAAGCATTTTTTAATCCAGGTGGTGCTGCATCCCCTGTAGAACCTAATTCAAATTGACAGTCAAGGGACTAAGAGTCAGGACAGCACAAACATACATATCCTGCCAGTAGTTAGTGTGCGGTCCCATCAAGACAGGATTATAGAAGAGCTCCCTCAAATTATGGTTGATCTTCTGCTTCTCCTTCATCCCTGGACTCCTGGTTTGTTCTTTCATACTAATATCTGACTTGCAATTACTTTGACTCTTTCATTCTGGAGCAGAAACCTGGTTGCTGAACTACAGCTCTGGATTAAGCCCCAAATCCATGCTTTTTTTTTTTTTCCTGGTATGAATTGCCGTGTCCCCATGAAGCAATAACTGATGAAAGTTTAAAACGTGAAGTCAGAATCTCAGAAGGAATCAGAATGGTAATTTCACCAGCCCCAAGTATCTACAGAGTCCTAGGGTACACTGGATCTCTAAAGCAGGGGTCCCCAACCACCGGGCCCCAGACCGGTACTGGTCCGTGGACCATTTTGTACCGAGCCGCCTATTTTGCTTGGGTGCCGCCATCTTGTTTTGACGGCGCTTGAGAAAGTGCTTCCGGGTGAGCTTGTCGGTCGTCGGCATCGACCGCGAGAAGCCCATCAACCGCGAGAAGGTACAAAGGAGGAGTTGAAGGTGGCGGGGAGAAGCGGGGGACGGCTGGCTGGCTGGCCAGTCACTCGGCTCGCCTTGCCTTGGTCATGCGTGCTGATGCCGGTACCGGGCCGTGGATCATTTTGTACATTTTGTACCGGGTCGTGGTGCAAAAAAGGTTGGGGGCCACTGCTCTAAAGTGTTATTGCAATTACAAAGGAATGGAAGGGGTGGGGTGGGTGCCGTGTGATACTCCATTTCGTCAGACCTCCTGCTTAGGCAAAGCATATACAGGGATGGGCTTCAAAAATTTTTGCAACGGGTTCTCTGCCCGGTTGCTGGGTGGGCGTGGCCTAGTCGGCCTCCTGCACCACAACAGGGGAGGAGCTTTTGCCCTCCCTGGGATGCAGAGGCTTTCTTCGAACCTCCGGGAGGGTGAAAACAGCCTCCCCAGGCTCCGGAGGCTTTCTGGAAGCCGGAAACAGGCCAGTTTCTGGCCTTCCCGAGCTTCCAGGAGGCCCATTTTTCACCCTTCCTGAGCCTCCGCGCACACCCTGCACTTACCTGCCTCCAAAATGGGCCACGTGGGGACTCCTGGGAGGGAAGGGGAGGGATGGGTGGGGCCAGCCAGGAGTGGGATTTGGGGGTTTCTCCAAACTGTGCAGAATCTTAGCTAGAGGATCTCCCAAACCCCTGCGAACCCACAGCAGCCCACCCCTGAGCTTTGAATCCAGAAACCCAGAAGATGGAATTGAACAACAATCCAGAGTCGGAACAAAGAAGCAGAGATAGAGCTGAACTGCAATTCCAGTCTGATTAGTATTGAGAATAAGTGGACTTGCAGTTCCATTCCAGAGAGAGTACATCACCCATATCCATTTGCCTCATTAGCAAGTCTGGGGAAACTAGTCCCCCCTATCTAACCCTGTTGTACAAAAGACCTCAAAATGTAATT